ATTATTGGATAAAATAGGAATATTGATTCTTCAAACTTCAAACGTGTGGTCAATTTGTAGAATTAGGATTAAAAGAGATCGTTGAATGGGAATTTGTGATCTTAGTGCGTCTCTCATTCATTAATTTCATCAAACTTCAATTCAAATATCATTTTGTATTTAATTTCATTTAATTCAGTCACAATTGCACGCAGTCTAGTTTAGATATAATCAATTTGCAGCCATCACATTTGACAACTTGGTTTTGGTTAAGGCCGAGATAGGTAAAATTTAACTAACTCATTCTCTGTGGAATGATATTCGGAGCTCTAAATTTTACTTTATTACTTGTTAATGAACCATACACTTACGGTGGTTTAGATCGAAATATATATTTTTCGTCAACATATGACTAACTACTTACTAATTAGACCTATTAACTAAGAAGTTAAATAATGAAGTGAAAACCAACATACAACTACGGCTAAAAACAGAAGTCGATAAACAAAGAAACAATTATTTGATCATCTTAATATGGAAGGTTTCTAAAATCTGTATATCTATACTTTTGGTTCTTTGGATGGAGATTTGAGTACATATTTTAGGTTGAGATCGGGAAGGTTATTGACAATTAAAGTTAGGTTGGACTGTTGGAGTTAAATCTTCACTCGTTGAGTTGTCTCTGGGTTTAATAAAATAATTCAAAAGAATATAAAAATATGCTCATAATAAATCATAAACTATCTTTAAAAATCCGATAATGAAAAATAATTACAAATTAAAAGTAGTCTAACTCGCAAAAAAAAAATAATAATAATAAATAAATAAATAAATAAATGCAACAATAAAATAGAATATAATACGTTCTCAAATTAGTAATCACTTAACGAAATTAGAATGTATAACTAGAAGTACAAAAATACTAAAAATTCTCTTATATGATCACTACTAATATGATGTTTAAGGAATTGTTATCATCATCCTCTCCATAAGTTTCATCTCATTCTTTGTCATTATCCGCTGCTTGTAATGGTGTCGTCCTTCCCTTTTTCCTTTCCGAAAATTAAAACAAAAAGGCAATAAAATATTATGGATAAATATATATGTACAAACAAATTGTTACAAAATGAATTACTATATCTCACAAAAGAAGCAGACCCTACATGAATTTAAAAAATATTGGCTTGTGGTTCCTACCCCTATTGTGAGTGTAAGTAAAATTTTTTGTACAAATTTGTGTGTATATCTAGCATGGTCCATTATAGGTTATAAAGAAATCGCCCGAAAAGCTAAGGTCGTTAATTGTCCAGAAAATGCAAGACAATTGGGCAAACACAGTAATCACCTTGAGGTTTAAGCCTCACAAATGACACTTGAGAGGCTGGTTTTGAGGCTATTTATGAAATCCTCACGTGAGGTAGGATTCGAGGTGTAAGCCTCGAACAGTGTTTTTAAACAATACCATTTCAATCATATGATCAATATGCTAACAATATGAAATTTCAATTGTATTTTGTCTTGGACTTCGACTGCTATGTTATGCTTTAAACGTGATTGCCTTTTTTTTTTTTTGAAAAGATAGCCATCTGTTTCTTATTCTGAATAAGTTGTGGATTTTTGTTAATCTTCCTCCTTTCGCTAGAAGGAAGATTAGATATCATGAATTCTCCATGTTTTTCTCCAAATTGAAACTTCTGCTTCAAGGACATTCTTTTTCTTCTTGATGGGAGCATGCATTTTATCCACGTTGGCAATTTCACTTATTGCAAGAATAAATTAACAATCTATGGAAACAACTAATTAAATACCAAGATAGCAATAAAGAAAGAACACACCAAATTTATGTGGAAAACCCTCCACCATAGAGGGGCAAAAAATCATGGGGTAACTCCTGCCAAATTTACAATAATAAAATAGTTTACAATACCCAAAAATATAAAAGGTTTGGCCTTTAATTCCTCATGGGCTGGATCAAGCCCATATAACAATATTAAGGGAAATATTGGGGGAAGAGGTCATAAATCAGGCGGTAACTATGTCCAATTCAAAATCCAGGTTACAAGTTTTTTTAGTGCAAAAATCAAGTTTTAGCTAATTAATTAAAAATATTTATTAAATAATGATAATAAAGCCACGCTTATACTATTCATGGTCACATATTCACAATTATAGGTCACATATTTTATTTATCGGTCACATATCATCAAATTAATTTGTTACAGATTTTTTCGAAGTTACAAGTCACAATTTTGATAAGTCAGATTATGTCGACGTTACAGATAAAAAAATTATAGTTCACAAATTCAAAAAATTATAGTCACAGGTCACATATTTTCAAATTTGATAGTCACATATTACTTTTTTTAGTCACAAATGATCAAATTTTAAGGTCACAAGTCAAATAGCCGGTCACCACCAACTCTACTGCCACCGCCGTTACTTGCAACCACCATTACCCCGTCGCCATTGCCACCGCCATCGTCAACACCAACACCAACATCAACAAAATCGACGCAACCAGATCCGCCGCCACCACCAAACATAGAAAAAAAAAACCACCATCACCATCTAAACCACACCATCGCTGCCTCCAGATCCACCAGCAACACTGTCGCCGCCAAAAATACGAATATCGCCACACCGCACCACAACACCCACATAGCACCAACAAAATCAGCTTCCACAAACATAGAACTCACATCACACGCCACCAACACAAATCGGCTTCCACTCACACCACACCAACAAATCGGCTTTTACACACGTCTGCGCATCAAGCCACTATCGCATCGCCACCGACTAGCTAGTCGCACAGCGCAGCCACAATGACGTCGCCGTGAGCACTGACTCCGCGGCCCTCAGATCAACGGGTGACGACTTCGACCGGCCAGATTGCTCACAACACCAACTGCGAGGGCATCGCACCGCAGCAACTATGCCGTCGCTCGACTCTCACGTCTCCGATGAGAGTACTTTTCAACAATGATGGAAGTTTGAGGTAGAGAGGGAGAGGGAGACGGTGGAAAGAGAGACAGAGGGAGGCGAGATGTGAAAAATCTGAGGATATGAAAAAATGATTAGGGTTTGTTTGGATTAGATAGTGTGGGTATAAATAATATCTGATTTCTGGTTAAAAAAACATTTGCACCAGATTTTTGCACTCACATCTTTAAATACCGGGAATCATGTAATTTCCTCAAATATTTGATTGTCCTCAAAACAGATGAAGATTTGATGATTTATTTTTCCATGCTTTCTTGTATATTAGGCCATGTTCGATAGCCAATTATTTTCCATGGAAAATGGAATTCAAATTCCAACTTCCATTTTTTAGCTTTTTGACCGCATTTTTTTTTTATGGAATTGATTTTTCCACTTTTCTTGCCACCTCGACATTTTTCATCTTTTCCTGGAAAATCAGTTCCCACCAATATGGTGGTGGGAATTGATTTTTTAGGCTATTGTTGGTGGTCTTTTTTTTTTCTTTTTTATATTTTTAAATTTTTTTTTTGGGCAATGAAAACAAATTCTATCCTTAATTGTAAAAAAATATTTTCCTTTAATTGACAATTTTCATATAAAGCAAAGCCAAACGAACACTAAAAGATAGATGATTTTCTTGACATTTTTTTTTCTTTTTTTTTTTTGCAATGGAAACAAATTCCATCCCGAATACTAGTAAATTATATTCCTTTAATTAACAATTTTCATGTAAAACAAAGTCAAACAAACACCAAAAAATACTTTTATTTTAGTATTTTCCACGTAGAAAATTGTACCAATAAAAACCCATTGACAATTCCCAGTAAAATAATTTCTAGACAATTTAATTCCTTAAAATTCCTTTTCTTTCCACCCAAATTTCATCTTTGCAATCTAATGGACCCTTAGTGGAGGTTGTTATATTTGCTTCTCTCAGATGTTCCTGTAGTTCCTTGATGAACAAGAATTTAACTTCATAATCTGTAATTTCTATATATTTTCATCAAATGCACACGACCTTAGTAGTAGATGAGAATAATTGCATATACATGGGTTGACTGGTTTCTTGGTCCTTGGCTGGTACACCTGAATTCTGAGACCCGAGAAGTTTAAGTTTGAGAAAATGAAATGAGATATAATGAAAGAAGGGTGTACCCAAATTGAATTTGTGTTTGATTGGCATTGAAAATGTTTTTTAGAGAAGAAAATGTTTTCTTTGTTTTGAGGAAAATAAAACTTCTCTCCAAAAAAATGTTTTCCTCAAAACAAAGCATATTTTCAAAAGTTAGAAAATATTTTTCTAAAAAAAATTTGCAGTCAAATATTCCAAAAGTTGGAATTCGGGATGGAAAATTTTCCAATCTAACACAAAATTCTTGTCGGGAGAAGCCAGTAGAAATTTTCTGGGAAAGTTTAAACCAATAGGAACTGAACTCGAATCTTATCCTCATTAGTGAAATTTTGTAGATAGGTGTCCATATTTAACTTCAATTTACTTAATATTATAATATTTTAAAATTTCACACCATTGATATTATTCAAATAAGGGTCGGAGTTGAAATAAATCTCCAGACTAGAAGAAAGGATAAAAAGTGAGGAACAGAGTCAAAATACAAAAGATTTTGCTCCTTGTACAGAGAATATATATATACAATGGATTAAATAATATTGATTGTATTTTAAATTGTCAAATGGTAGAATAACATGTGAAATTATGTAATTTATTATATAAATCTTGATGTACATATAGCAAGGAAGAACATAAGGGATCTACCGAACAAGATCCGTTGTCTGAACAAGTTTTGAAGTGAGAAACCGAAAAATTTACATTCTTTGACAAACCAGGTCAAGAAATTAGTTCCTTGAATAATTGATAATCTTTGTCACAGTTTACCTTGTAAAAAGACTGAACTAGTGAAGCAAAGAATTTGATGGGACCATTATACTATGTACAAAAAGAAATATAAATTCATGGTAGACAAAATGGTGTGGCCATCCTCTCAGACTCAAATCATCAATAAAATGGCGTGGTTATAAATCGCCCAACAAATGAGTGAGAGTATAAAAACAAATTTCATCAAAGTTGGCAGGTAGGCTTTGTGTGAGATGCAGACCCTGGTTTGTTTTGGTTCCCCCAAATTCAAACCCCGTTCCCATCACAAATTCAAGAAATCTAGAACAATCCCATATTGCAGTCTGAGAAAAACAAGCACTAAGTCTAATTGGGCAGCCATATCAGCAACCCTTTTCGGCACCGGCTTCTTCTTAGGTCCCCTCATAGATGGGATCCATTCCAGAGTAAATCTTGTGGAATACCAAAATGGGGCAATTGATATTGGTCCTCTTCACACAAATATTTGGGTAATATAAAATAATTCCTCAAAATTATTTTTGTTGCTATTTGAATATATTTTTTCATGAATATATTGGTAGGTACCTCCTCTGCTTGGGCTGTTCTATTGCAGTGTGGGGTTACTGCAACTTGTGCTTGATCAGGGGTTGCCATCTGAGGCAATCAACAGTAGCCCAGAGAAAACTGCTGCTTCATTTATGTGAGTCCATCTATGCCGACCATCATCCTTTACTCCAAACTTTGGTACACAGGCAGAGCTATTTATTTATTTCTTTAATCAGAAACACCATCAAATTCTAGCTAGACTAGGTTTTATGCCTCAATTAGACTCAATGACCCTCGATACTAATAGCAATCATGCTAGTATAAAACACAATCATTTTTTCCATCATATCATTTTTTGCCACATAGGATTCTGTCAACGCTTGTGTCATAAATTTTCTGGCTAAGGAGCTTAATCCATTCTAATAGTGGAAAATAAGAGTAAAGCTAAAGTGACGAGGATTTTGGACAGGTTTTGGAAACAGCTGTTGCGTGTCAGCACATGCTTCCTTCTTTTTTTAATAAAAGTGGTACCTCATGAGCAGAAATAGAGTAGTGTAAACTTGGAAGTAGGAGCGAGTGAAAAGGTAAATAAGAATAAAAAGTGTAAAAAACCAATTGAAAAGACATGGATACTGGTAATATATTGAATGATGAATGGCAGAGCCCTGGTGCTGTTCATTGAATTAAGTGCAGAATTGTACAAAGCTGGAGTAGCAGACAACATTGAAGCCTACATATTATTTGCTGGGGCAGAATTGGTTTGGTTACTGCTGGATAAGACTAGATTGGGATTTGCACTTGCTTGTGTTGTAGGCCTTTGTTGCCCACTTGCAGAAATTCCCATTATGAAGTAAGACTTGATCTACCCATATAATCCCATTATTAATCAACTTTATTTTGAATAATCAAATTGTTCTTTTCGATAGACTGTTTGGGCTCTGGAACTATCCCCAAGCAAATGTCGAGATATTCGGTCAGGTAATTTGCATGTTTGGTAGATAGAAATGTACATTACAGAATTTTAGGCTTTGTTGTTTGTTTAATGCATTTGATTTTGCAGGGACTAGTAAGTTGGACGATGACTTGCTATTTCGTGTATACTCCATTCTTGATAAATCTTTCGCGCTGGATCAAATCGATCACTGCTACTGCAAATTCTGAAGAAAGATCAACTTCTCAGTAGAGTTCTAAAGACTCGTCAAGGTAATGGACGAAATTAGAATTGTTCTTTATTAGTGGATGTAAATTGTCGACTCTACCAGTTTTCCGTTTCAAATTTTCAAATTGTAAAAGTTTATTGTTGGTACTATTAAATGGAAGAGGTAAGGGAAAAGTATACTTTGGGTAAATGCGGCAAAATGTATGTTCTATATTTCAATTCAACGAGTCCAAGCAAATCAAATCCTAGTAGTACTTGTAAATATTGGATAAGTGATGCTTGACATACGTGATCACATTCACATATGCCGTTGTGTCGATATCTAATAACCATTCTGTTAGAAATGAGATGTTTAAATCATATTTCACAAAATTGTTCTTGAATTGATTTATATTTTTCTATTTATTGAACGTATAGGATTAATTGTTCTCTCAAACAGTTCCATAAAATGCCAATGATAATTCCAACCATGTAAGTTTAAAAGAGGGGCCTTTTTGGTTTCTCGTCGCCCAAAATGGCTTTGGATGGACTCCTTGTACCCTCCACACGTTCCGCACATCGAATTGTCTATTTTATTTATTATTTCAAAATCAACAATAAATAAACAGGCTTTACCTTAAACCATATAAACGTTTTGCAGCTAATTTTATATTGCTTGGTGTACAGTTTTTAAAGTTGTATATCTTTACATTCTCCTCGCAATGAGGGGCTCACATGAATTAAATATTTGTGAGCCCTTCAACATGTGAGTGGGCTGTACACCATAGCATATAAATGACTTTTTCTTTTTTTTAATCTAGTAGACAAGGTAGGTTATATATATATATATACTAGTCGTTATCACGTGCGTTGCACGAATTTTGTATTTATCATATTTTTATTAGTGTATGAATTTTAGTTTTTTTGGAAAGTTTTTGAAGTAATATCTAAAAAAAATTTCATGATATAAGAAAATAATTGTAAATTATTTTTATAATTCCATAACAATATGTTATCTAGAAAAAATACGCTTGTATATTTCATACTTGAATAAGAAATATACAAACTATTTTGCTTGTATTTTTTGATAGTGTTGATATGATTGAATTGAATGTGAAAATTATATTTCTAAATTTTGTGTAATTCAATATTGAAAAAAAAAACTCTCCGCATAGTGCGGAGTAAAAAAAAAAACCTCTCCGCACAGTATGGAGAGATGACAAACCAACTCTTCTCATAGTACGGAGAGCAAAAAAAAACTCTCCACATTGTGCGGAGAAAGTTAATCTCTTCGCACAGTGCGAAGAGTTGGTCCATGGCAAAACTCTCCGTACAGTGTGTAGAGAGTTGAACCATATGCGGAGTAAAAAAAAGTGTGGAGAGAAAAAAACCTCTCCGTACAGTACGGAGAGAGTTGAACCATATGTGGAGAGTTGGCAAACTCTTCGCACAGTGCGGAGTAAAAAAAAATCTCCGCACAGTGCGGAGATATGACAAACTAGCTCTCTTCATAGTACAGAGAGAAAAAACTCTCCGCACAGTGCAAAGAGTTGTTTTCAAATTCCTTAATTACAAGTAAAATTTCAAGATTATAAATTTTTTGTATATACAACGAAACAAAGTCGAAAAACATGGCTCAAAATCAATTATGTTTTCTTTAAATTCCAGTCACAACTCAATTTTTGAGCATGCAAATCATATTTATGGTATTGCAAAGGAGCTTTCTCGTAATTCATACAATGAAACAATATGTGAGTTGTGCAAATAATGGGATATTGATAGTACCATGACATTACTTTCACAAATGGAAGCTCTAGGATACCACTAAAATTCAATATTTTACACTTGCTTGATAATAGCTCTTGGACATTAGAAGTGGATACAATTTTCAATGAAATTATACTTTCGAATTGTAGATCAGGAATTAAAGTATTCAATGCATTGCTCAAAAGTTGTTTGAGAAAAGGCCTCTTGGAACTTGCAGATAAAGTCCCGAGAGTTTTTGTTTTTCTCTTCACACTGTAAGGAGATATAATTTGCCATCTCTCCGCACTTTGCGGAGTCTTTTTTTTCTCATGTGCGGATATTTTTTTTTGTCTCATGGAGTTTATATATACTAAAATTATTATTATTTTTTTAATGTTGTTGGTATGATGCGTGTGTGGAAGAATATTTGTCAATCTCCATAAACAAAATTTTTCATAAAATACAAAAAATAAAATGCATAATAAATCTTCTTATTACGTTAATAAAATTACAATAATTTTTTTTTTTACAGATAACATTAAAAAAAATCATTTTTATCTTCAACAAAAAAAACACATTTAAAAATTAGCAATTTCATAATCATTTTTTTAATTCTCAAAATACAATTATAAAAAAAGAAACAATATTGAATTACAACATTTAATACTTAAGAAATTTAATATTAAATAAATTTTATACATTTATAACAAATTATAAATTCATATATGCAACTTATCGTATTTGCAGGCAGCTTATTGTATATACAGCTTATCGTATATGCTGCCTACCGTATCTGTAGTTTACCATATTTACAGCATACCGTATTTGCAAATAATTTACCGTATTTGTAGCATACCGTATTTGCAAACACCTTACCGTATATGTTGCCTACCGTATTTGCAACTTACTGTATATACTGCCTACCGTATTTGCAGCTTACTGTATTTTTATATACCGATTTTTGCACTTACAAATATCGAGAATGCAAAACACCATACATTCACTTACCAAACCGAATTTCAAAAAAAAATTCAGATTTTTATTTTTCCAACATAAGCATAAAATAAATATTAAATATATATGAAGCACAAAATATAAATACATATGAATATGGTGCTCAATCTTCAATTTTTCAATATTGAATTACACAAAATTTAGAAATTAATCTTCACATTCAACTCGATTATATCAACACTATCAAAGAATACAAGTAAAATAATTTGTATAATCTCGTATATTTCTTATTCAAGTATGAACTATACAAGTATATTTTTCTAGATGACACAATACTGTTATGCAATTGTAAAAATAATTTATAATTATTTTCTTATATCATGGAAATATTTCTAAATATTGTTTCAAAAACTTTCCAAAAAATTAAAATTCATACATTAATAAAAATACGATAAATGCAAAATTTGTGGAACACATGTGACAGTCACTGTGCGGAGATGTTTTTTTTTTTTTTAACTACGCACTATATGGAGAGTTTGCCAACTCTTCGCACTGTACGAAGTTTTTTTTTTTTTGCTTTTTTTACTCCGCACTGTACGGAGAGTCCGCACTTTCTGAGGACAGTGTCCACATAGATTGTGCGGACTGTCCACACAGAATGTCATCTCTCCGTATTGTGCGAAGAGTTTTGCCATGGTGTTTGCCATCTCTCCGTACTGTGCGAAGAGATTTTTTTTTAATTTCGCATTGTACGGAGAGTTGGAACTCTCTGCACATGGTTTGCAATCTCTTCGCATTATGCGAAGAGCTTTTTCTTCCTTTTTTACTCCGCACATGATTTTCCATCTCTCCATACTTTTTTTTTGCTCACGGTAGTTTATATTTACTAAATTTATTATTATTATTTTTAATGCTAGTAGCATGATGTATGGAAGAACATTTGTTTGACATAATTATTTTTTTAATGCTAGTGGGATGATGTGTGGAAGAAGATTTGTTTGACATAAACAAAATGGAAAACAAAAAATGACATCATGCATAGTAAAATTGGATTGGATTCATTTACTATTGCACGAACTCTCGCTGCACGCCAATCTCTCTCTCGAGCGTTCAACGCAGGGAGCCTGGCCTTGCTTATTGCCAACCCATCACTCGAAGGGCAGGTGTGTTGCTCACTCAGCATCAGATCGACGATTGAGCATCATTATGTTCCAATTCGTGATTCATTTCGCGTTTTGACACTTTTTTTATGTAATTTCCATCTTTAAGACTTTTATGATGGTTTTCGCATGTTTTGTTCACCTATGGTTGACTTCTCGTTTTGATTATAACAAACAAATTATGTTTAACAATTGTGTTTGAGTGATTATAGAAGTTATGACAAATGTGGACAAAATAACGCTTTTGAAACTTTCACAAAATTGAACAAAGTAGAAGTCAAGCTACACATCAAGTCAAAGAGCACTTCATCAAGTCAAACAAAGAAGAGATTAAAAGAAATTAGACTTAGACACCTTAATCTCAAATGTAAAGGTAAAATACTTTAATATTTGGCAAATACATCATTTGAAGCTCAAGAAAAGTTTCTTCGCACAACAAACACAATTTTTGCATAAATATTTTTTTCTAACGCATGAATCTAATTATACACATTAAGAAATGTCAAAATCTTGAAAAAACAAGTTAGAAACATCCTTCATGAGATTACACCATTTTAAAACATTAAAAAAGGAATATTTCTAACTGCCAGACACAAACTGGCCTAGAGGATGCATCCGGTAGCTCTGGTGGACGCGTCCAGTGATCCTAGCGGACGTCTGGTACGGCAGGTTTGTCCAACGATCCAAAAATTGAATATTCTGACTTTTGAACAAAAAATGGTTAGTTGACCATTCGGTAAGCTAAAGGACATCCGTTAGCCTTGTCTGGTAAGATAGAACTTTTGACGATTTTGCTGTTATAAATACCAGATCATTTTGCATTCAAAGACAGACCTTTGTGAGCATTAAACTAAGATATTATTGATCTTAACTACTCAATCATTTTTCTATATCTATCTTTTCAACTCATTTACATTAGAAAAACTTTTGATTGATTCAACTTTTGAAAGTCATTTTATTCATTAAAGTTTTTCTTATCTAACACTTGAGCTTCAATTATTGCTATTTACTAAAGTGTTAGTAATATTCTCTTATTGTACTCAACACCAAATATATCATTTATTACAAAAGAAATCTCTATTTGTAAACTCTTTATTTTTTAAACTTGTGGGTCGGGTTGAGGTCCCGAAAATCTTAACATTGTAAAATGATCTGTGCTCCTAGGGTGTAAGTCACCGGAAGCGTTGTAAGAATGTTGGATTGCACCATAAGTCAATCAATATAATGAAAAAGACATTGCTCATGACGGAGAGCTTAATAACGGGGGACGTAGATCATTGCATTGGATCGAACCTTTGTATCATATCGTTTGGCTTCAGTTTCCTTTTACTTATCTTTGCTTTTATTTATTACTTGTAGTTTCATCTTAGTCTTTGCTCTTTTTCATATTTAAGAATATTTGAT